CGGATTCCAGCCTCTATCTCATCCTCCTCTGTCCTTGGGTCGGCCCTCTCCGCGTGATCCCTTCTCCTCTAAAGGCGCTGCTTCTCTAGATGTCGGTTCATCACTCCTACTAGCCAGTGCAGTGCGTTGAGATCCATGGCGTTGCCTAGCGCTCTCCTGCGCTGCTGCTCCATCACCTCGCCACTCGCCGTGGCTCCTGTCATGAATCCCATTGCTAGCTCGCGTTCCAAAGCTATTGGTTCCTCCCAATCTCCCTTCAACTTGTCAAACACCATCCCCGGACCCTCTCTGCCGTCTTCTATCTTGAACCCCCTTGCCTGCTCATGCGCCACCAGCGTGGGCCATGCCTGCCGAGGCTCCCCCACCTTATTGCACGGGAATTGTGTCTCATGGTCAGGATGCCTCACCAGTGCCGGGATTCTTGCCGGTTCCAGAACGTCCTGTACCAGTCGTGCGCGTGGCCGTTCTATCAGTGAGAGTTTTTACTGCAGCGCCGCCTCGGTTACGATGTTCTGCCAGTACCTGCGCGGCCTGTGCGCCCTGCTGCCGTTCTGCGCCGCATCCCACGCCACTCCTGCCCCCAGCTCTGTCCTGATCTCTTCTTCTGCCCTCTTCACAGCTTCCCGCATATCGTCCCGCGTGTCCACGTTCTCTACTATGTATGCTACTTCTCACTGCTTCCCTCTTGATCATCTTCAGTATGCGCACTAATTCCCTGAACAGTCCACTTCTAGGGTCTTCCATCCCTCTTCCTTCCCCGGCCCTGGACAAGCCTTGGCATTCCCACCCGGCTATCACCAGATCCACGTGCCCCCAGTACGCCAACGCATCCTCCTTCACATCCTCCACCCGATGGCATACCCACTCAGCCCCCTTCTGGACGGCATCCGCATACAGCTGTGAGGGGTACCTCTCCTCCAGTTTCTTGATGTGATGCCACGCTATGCGATCAGCTGCCTCGTCGTTCTCGACGTAGATGTATTTTTCCACCCTCAGTCCCGCCTTCAGCACTGCCGCCAGCCCGGTGCAGATGCCTGCAAACAATTCCAGCAGCACTATTGGCCTCTGGAACACGCTCCCATCCCAGTGCAGTTCCTTCAGTCGCCCGCTTTCTCCCCACTGCTGCCGGTGCCAGTCTCTATGCCTCCGCTCTTCATCCAATTCTTCCCAGCTGAGTATTCCTAGCTCCTGTTCCACTGTCCGGACCTCCGCCTGGTACGCCTCTCGTGGTTCGCGGCGGATGAATCTAACGGGCAACTCTGCCACTGGCCTGTTCTTCTCCCAATATTCCACTCGGTAGGTAAGTTTCTCCTCCCACATGCATATGGTGGCACCAATGCTGTACAACAACTCCACTCCCAGTAGCAGGTCGTAGTCCTCGGAGGGTGAGATTCCGCACTGCAGCTTCACCGAACATTCCTCTTGGCTCCCTTGCCGGATGAAAATCTCGACCGTACTCCTGGTCTTTGGCATCCACTTAGTGCCTCCTCCCTCTGCTATCATCAGCAGCAACCCTTCTTCTATCTGCCGCTCGGGGCGGTCCAGCTGCAGCTGCTGCGCGAGCCTCCTCCCAATCAACACCGGATGAGCCCCGGTATCTATGATCGCCTGCTTTACTGACACGCCTCCCACCGTTAAGTACCCCCTTTCTGCCACCAGTACCGATGCTACACAGCTGAGACGCTCCAGCGGATGGCGGCGCGAGGGATGCAAGTCCTCCTCTGTTTCCGCCCTCCTCTTGGGGCCCAATTCCCTCCTTGCCTCCGCGCGCGGCCTCAAGTTCCGCTCCCGTGTCCTCAATCCCAACTCCTCCCAGCCCCTCGCCGGCCACGCCATGAGATAGAAGTCTTCCTCACTGCTCTCCTCTTCCTCTTCTCTCGCCACCATGACAGGCCTCCTCTCACTTCCCGCCTCGCGTCTTTCAAGCTGTGCCCGCAACCTCTCAATTTCCGCCTTCATCTCCGCCATCTCGCCTCTCTCACGTTTCTCTCCCCGCCCTTCTCCCATTCGCGAGTAGCACTCCCGTTCTGCGTGTCCCCTTCTCCCACACTTCCCGCACACTGGCGCCTCCGGACAGTCGCGCCTCTGATGATCTTCTTGTCCGCAGATTGAGCACGCTGGAGGGTTTCGGCAGTCTCGCCTCAGGTGCCCCACTTGCTCGCAGTTGTGACACTTGCGAGGGTCGCCCGGGCCTCTCGGCGGCCTCTCTCTTTCCACTGGAGCTGCACTCCATGCTGGCCTCCTACGCTCTGCCGCCCGTTCCGCGGTGCGCTCCAATTCAAACAGCCTTCTCCCTGTCTCCACTCTCTTCGCCGTTGCGTACGCCACGCTCAACGTCGCTGCGGCTCCCATCTCGAAGATCTTCACTTGCACGTCCCTCTGCAACTCGTAGTTGAGGCCGTTCAGGAACTTACTGACGAGGCGACCCTGGTCTACGCAATTCATGTCTTTAGCCAGTTCCACGAGCCGTCCGTAGTATGCCAGCAGGGACTCTCCCGCCCTTCGTTTGAATTCGCGAAATTCGACCACTCGTTCCGGTGTCTGCAGTGGGAACTGCTCTCGCAGCATCTCCAAGAAGCGCTTGGTGGGGTCTCTTTCTCCCGGTCTGGCTTGAGCCGCCCAATCCAGTAGCTCCCGGCTGCAGATGCGGCAGTAAGTTTCGGCTTCTCCCGTCAACATGTTCGCCAATCCTCGAAAGAATTCATCCGCATCCAGACAATCGCGTTCCCACCGTGCCCGCAAATTCTCCAGCTGCATCAGGTAATTTTTCAAGGATGGTCCGCGTCGTACTTCCTCTGAAAAGCGCTCCGGTACCTCCACTTTTGGGAGCATGGTGTAGCGCCACCGCGACGACGCCGCGTCGTCCTCAAAGCCCTGCCAGGAAGCGCTGCGCCGGTACTGCCCCTCGCTCCCTTTTCCCGCTTGAGTTGCTGCCGCGGTGTCGCCGCGAGATGGCTTCTCCTTCTCGCCCCTGGTTCCCTCTGTCTCGGCGCGACGCTGCCCGTCACGCTCCTCTCCTGAGCCCGTGGCTCCGCCCATCCCTCGCTCAAGTCCTCCTTCCGCGCCGTGCGCCTCCGTCCTCGCTCGAGTCTCATGCTCATTGTTCTCTTCGCCTTCCGTCATCACGCTCTCCTTAACCGGATCCTTCGCGGCGAAATCTAACCATGATCGTGTGGGCATCCAGAATGCTTGTATGTGATGAGCTCTTGCTCCCTCACATAACCCTGCCTCCACAAACTACTAATTACGACATAGCTTGTGATATCTCCTTCAAACCACTACTTGCTTTGTCGGTTGCAAGAATATCGTGTAGTAAAGGAACATACAAGCATTGAGGCTATTTCCGTCAGAATCCACCTATTCTACCAGATCTGCCACCACCAGGGGTCCTCTCCTTCCCTAGTCTGCTCGCTAGCAGCTATTGCTACTTTCGAGAAGACAGACATCCGTGCTGCCTGTTGCCACTGTCACCCGCCTCTAGCTACTTTGCCTCCAGCTGGGACTACCCAGATCCAGCTGGCTCTTGGGAGCTTGCCTGCACACACGAGAAACAAACACACATGCAAACGAACACCCTTCCAAGTGCCGGTGGTAACCGCCCTTCCTCTGCTGCCGCTGCCTTGCGCTGTGATTCCCACTTGAGTCCACGTCCTTCTCACGTCAGTCCCGCCCTGCCAGCTGCCATGCCTTCCCTGACCCTTCGCTTCGGCAGACGACCCCACCCTCAGACCTCTCAAGTTCCCTTCCCTGCCCCAACCGCCGCGTGACCCTTCGCTCCTCATCCACGGCACTGCCCAGCTCGCTATATACAATATGTACACTTTGTACATTCCTCCTTTATCTCTCCGCCTTCCACTTCACATTCACATAAATGTTCTATACTATTATATCCATCTATTCTTTCTATGGTTGCAACCTAGAGCCCTGCCTATACCCTCAACCTACGGTTTTGGCATATGCATTAGGTGCATATGCGGTGACTGCTGTCGGAGAACCTTCTTCCTGCCTCTTGATCTTCCTCCTGCACCTACTCTTCTCCTGCTATCCCTCTTGTTCCTCCGTTCTCCGTGGTGTCTATGTCACCGAATATGCACGGTTGTGCATATAAAGTGCCAGTTATGTTGAGGTGTAGTTCTGGTGTAGTTCTGGTGTAGCAATGTTGAGTATGAATATTCGAGGGTAGGTAGTTGGGGGACCAGGGAAGTTGACGCGAGGTTGGTAGGAGAGCACCAAGGGGGGAATCCACGCGACCAATGTGATTGAACCAACCCAGGCTTGAGCCGCACATTGAGAAATGCACGGTTCGAGCCCAGGCCAGGTAAAGTCACTCTCTCACACATCCCTGATGCTTTCCGTTTGTTATCCTTTCGCATAGTGGAGAGTTGTTACCTTAACTCACAGCTAGGTGGCACACCACTCGGAGAGGACCCTTGAGGTGGGAGTTCTGACTCTTTCATAACAAACGGAAAGGTGCGCGTACGAGCATGGCTGTGTACGAGCTGCGTTATGGCAGGAACTACGGTCGCCGTGAGGAGGATCGCGCGCGGCGCGAACGCTCACGTGAGCGCGGGCGTTCGCTGGAGAGGTCGCCGCGGCGGCCTGAGCGATCGCCGCGGAGGCCGGCCTTTCGCGCGGATCAGGTCCCTCTCGCGCCAGATCGCCAGGGGGGGGGATCCGCTCGAGAAGGAAGGGGCGGATCTGGATCCGCCATGATGGGGAGTGACCCATGGCGGACGGACGAGCGCCACGGAGCCGCCGGCGGTCATGGGTATCGCCAGGACACGGGAGCATACCGCTCGCCGGAGGAAGGCTATCGCCGTCGCACAGATCGAAGTCGCGGGCGTGGTCTGGAGGAGCTCTTCTCGGGTCGCCAAGGCGATCTTGATGTGGATGGAGAAGACGAGGCCGACACGGCGAATCATGTGCAGGAGCCGAATCGCGAAGGCGAAACCAAGGGCGATGACGCATCCCAGGAGGAAGGCGCAGGCGAGCAGCGCGATATGCCCGCTGGAGTCAACAACGACGACCCCGCGCAGGCGGGCGTGGCGGCGGAGCCAAGCACGGCGGAGGCGGACGGAAAGAGCGGTGCTCGGAACCAGCCGTGCGGCGGAGAGAAGAGTGACGGCGGGAAGCGTAGCAGTGGCTCGCGCTCTCCGGATCCGCGTCAGCAACGTGACGAAGGACGCAGTGGCGGCGCGCGCTCGCCAGACCCGCGGCTGAATCGTGACGGGGGACGCGGTGGCGGCGCGCGCTCGCCAGATCCGCGGCTGAATCGTGACGGGGGACGCGGCGGCGGCGCGCGCTCGCCAGATCCGCGGCTACATCGTGATGGGGGAAGGGGAGGCGGCGTGCGCTCGCCAGATCCGCGGCAGAACCGTGACGGGGGACGCGACGGCGACGTGCGCTCGCCAGATCCGCGGCTGCAGTATGACGGGAGGCGCGAAAGCGGCTACCACTCTCCAGATCTGCGGCCGCTGCATGAGAAGAGGCGCGGAGGCGGCTACCGCTCGCCAGATCCGCGGCAGCACCGGGACAGTGGGCGCGGGGGCAGTGCGCACTCGCCAGATCCGCGGAGGTATCACGGCGGAAGAAGCGGAGGGGATCTGCGCTCACCAGATCCTCATTACTCTCGTAATGAGAGACGCGGAGGTGGCTATCGCTCGCCTGACATGCAACGGTACCGTGGAGAGAAGTGGGGAAGCGAGGCGCGCTCGCCTGACTGGCACCTGCAACATGAAGAAAGCCGGGAAGGCGGATACCGTTCGCAGCATCGGCAACAGAGCAGGGGCGGGAGGCACAACAGTGGGTCTCGCTGGCCTGGCCGGCGTTGGCAACACGACGGAAGACGTGCCGGTGAGGGAGGACGGGATCAACGCGGCAGCAGAGAGGGAGGCAGCGGGCTGATGCACAGCCTGGAGCGAGCCAGAGAAGCAAGGGAGGGAATACAGCGGGCGAGAGAGAGAGGAGCAACAGGGAGATCGGCAGGAGGGCCGAGCGAGGCATGGGGAGAAGGCAGGGGAAGCACGGCCATGGTCACGAGGGTGGAGGTGCCAGCACGCTTCTCAGGAGATCAGCGTACGGGGCCCACGCTGAAGAATTACCTAATGCAAGTGGGCGACGTGCGGTACAGATGTGAGAGGAGCGGCATGGACTCGGTAGACTTCTTCCTGAGTCTGCCGAACACACTGGAAGGGGAGGCAGAGACACTGTACAGGATGAAGATGGATGAGCTGATGGGGAGGGCAGGAAGGTACGGGGAAGACCCAACGGAAGCATTCCTAAGGCGGCTGCAGCGGCAGTTTCCAGGCCACACCGCAGAGAAGATAAGGGAATTCTAGGATTTCAGGAAGGGGCGGGGTGAGTCGCTGCTCACCTACTACAACCGGCTGGTTAACCTGGCGGAGGATGTGACTTGTGCAGATATGGGCCTGCTCGTGAGCAAATTCCTGGACGGGATGGAGGGCACTTTGGGGAGCGGGCTGCGCATGAAGGTGTACGAGATGGGGGCTGACACGACGCTAGATGAAGTGTTTGAGATGGCAGAGAAGATGGAGCTGGCACAGAGGAAATATGAAGCCTACCAGCCCCGACCAGCGGAGCGAGGCAAGGGACCTACATGGGCAGCAGCCATGATACCAGAGGAGAAGGACAGAGCGGCGGGTCGAGGGGAAACCAGGCCTGACACGCGGACGTGCCACAGATGCGGACAGCCAGGACACTTGCGCAGAGACTGTAAAAACTGCGACTCCTGTGGCAAGCCAGGACACCGGCGGCGGGAATGTCCAACGGCGCCGAAGTGCGAAGTCTGTGGGAAGGGAGGGCATGCAGCAAAAGAGTGCTATCAGCGAGAGGGAGCGGTGAAGAAGACGCCAGAAGATCTGGAGAAGCAGATCAGCAGGCTACAAGCCCAGCTGCAGGCAATGGGACCACGACGCGAAGCAGAGGCGGGGATGTACGCCAAGGAAGAGGAGGAGGAAGATGTGGGGCAGGACGAGGAAGCCGCATTCATGGTTTGGGGAGGAGGAGAAGAGAATGAGGTAGAACATGAAGAGCAACCAGCGTACATGGCATGGAGAGGAAGAGAGGAGCTGGGGCTGCGCAGCGGAGGAAAAGATGCACGGAAGGAGCAGGTGAGGAAGGAGCGGGAGAGAGGACAGAAACCGGAAGAAAAGGAAGAGAGATGCACTGCGGCACGGCACCCCCAGGAGAGGTTGGCATGCCAGACCTCTGTGCTGCTGATTCAAGGCGGCGCGTTGTCAGTGGAAGGGGAGAAGGCTAAGACGGCGATCATAGACACTGGAGCGCAGAGCGTTATACTAGGGAAGGGGATGGCCGAGAAGCTGGGACTGTGGGCACCTGACAGACACGTGGTGAAGGGGATGCTAGTGATGACAGCAAAGGGAGGAGAGTCGAAGTGGATGCCGTGCACAAGGACTCTGATAGAACTGACGGTGCTGAAGGGGGAGAAACATGAAACGCCAGTCAGAATCAGGTGCGGGATTTCAGAATCTGAGGATTTTGATGTGTTGGTGGGAACAGAGATGATTTTTGCATTGGGCATGACCATTTGCTTTTGGAAGGAGACAGTGGAGTTCCGGACCAGGTGGTGGAGGAAGGGTGAGCCACTAGGGCAGCTGCCTGTGCAGTTTGTCAAGACAGAGCCAAAAAGGGCTTACCGGGCGGACCAGAGAGAGGGGACAGCAAGACAGGGGGCACAGGACAGCGCGGCAGGCGAAGGAAAGGGCGGGGCGCCCAGGATGCGTTTCATGGACGAGCCTGGCCAACAAACCGATTGGCAGCAACCCATCCGGCTGGTGGAACTGTTCGGAGGAATAGGGGCGGGACTGGCAGCAGTGGTGCGGAATGGAATTGCAGTCAAGCAATGGATTTACGTGGAGCAGGCATCGGAAGTGAGGAAAATAGCGGAGCATCTTGCGTGGGAGTTACACAGAGAGTTTCCGGAACTGCTGAAGGGAGAGGTGATTAAGGCAGCAATAGGCAGAGGAGTGGACGATATAAGGGCTATCACGGAAGCTGAGGTAGCAAGCTGGGTGCACGTGGATCTGCTGGTGGCAGGGTGGGAATGCCAGGGGGTATCATGGGCAGGGAAGGGTAAGGGCGAGCAAGACCCCAGGACCAAATTGATGGAGGAACTGTTCAAGATCATGGAGTGGGTGCAGGCTAGGCAGGGCAGGCTGGCTTACCTGCTGGAACATTTAGACATGGAAGGAGATGTACGAGAACCAGTCAGACTGGTGAGGGAGAGAGTAACGAGGCAGGTGGGCAAGGGGGTGAGCAGTGATGCGGCGCGAATGGGAGCATACGCACACCGGCTTAGGATGTATTGGCAGAACGTGGTACCAGTGGAGGACCTGCAGAAGGAGATAGAGGGGGTGCAGAGAGCAGGGGGGCGGAAATTGAGCGACATACTGGAGCCAGGGAGAACGCCAGCACCAGTGAACAAACGGAGCTACAGCAGACACTATCCATGTAACCAGGTGGGGCAGGAGAGGCAAGCACTACCCACCCTGGTGTCATATGAGGGGGCAGCAGGATACCGGATGTACGGAGAGCAGCCGGGCCCAGGACTGATAAAGGACCACAAGAAAGGGCGGTGGGAAGAGCCCACGGCCTTGGAGAGAGAGCTGGCCATGGGGTACAAGGAGAATGCCACAGCAGCCCCTGGCGTGAGTGAGAAGGAAAGGAGGCGGGCATTGCTATACATGATGAGATGGCTGGTGCAGCGGATGTGGAAGGAGACGGTGCTACACTGGGGACTGAAGGAGGGAGAAAACACAGTAGCGACAGTCCGGCAAGGGGTGTGGGCCTGCCTGCAGAAAGAGGAGCCAGAGTGGAAGATAGGGGAAAGCATGAGCGAGAAAGGGAAGGCAGCAATGCGAGCAGTGCTGGCCAAGCATCGGAAGGGCTTCGCCTTCACCCTGCGGGAGTTGGGGAAGTGCAAGATCAAAGAGATGGCATTGAAGCTGAGCAGTGACCAGCCGGTATTCCACCGCAGGAGGAAGATGCCACCAGGGGATGAAGCGATCTGCAGGGAGAAGATAAAGGAGCTGCTGGAAGCCGGACTGATCAGGAGGTCAGAGTCCGAATACGCCACCCCAACCGTGGTGGCAGCCAGGAAGGACTTGACAGGCGAGGTGCTGAGCAGGAGAATGTGCGGGGATTACAGGGATCTCAACAAAATCACAGTGCCGGATAGATACCCGATGCCGATGGCGGAAGAACTCTTCGACAAGTTGGCCGACGGGGTGTTCTTCACGACGCTGGACCTGCGCCAGGGATTCAATCAAATCGAGATCAGAGAGGAGGATGTGAAGAAAACGGCCTTCCACGGACCAGATGGGTTGTACGAGTGGCTGTACATGCCCTTCGGCCTAAGGAACGCCTCGGCAGTGTTCCAGCGAGTCATGGATGCGGTGCTGCGGGGAATAGAACGTGCGGCGTGCTACATCGATGACGTGGTGATCTTCAGCGGGACCGAACAGCAGCACCTGGAAGACGTGGAGAGGACATTGAGTGCTATAGAAGGGGCAGGGCTCACATGCCATCCCAACAAATGTAGATGGGGGGAGCGGACAGTGCAGTACCTGGGGTATGAGGTCACAGGGGGGCAGATTGGGATCCAGCAAGCAAAGGTGCAGGTGCTGGACAGGCTGAGGGAACCGAGAGACAAGTCAGGGCTGCGTGCGGTCTTGGGCTTCCTCAGCTACTACAGACGCTTTGTGCCTAACTTCAGCAAGAGAGCGACGGTGCTGAATGGGATGTTGCGAGAGGACAAGGCATGGGAGTGGGGAGAAAAGCATAGGGAGGCGCTGCAAGACCTCATGACAGCCGTGAAGACGGCGACAGTGCTGCGACTGCCGGCAGCAGATCAGCCCTTCATCCTCTACACCGACTGGAGCAGCCAGGGGATGGGGGCAATACTGTGCCAAGAGGTGGAGGGAGTGGAGAAGGTGGTGGCCTACGCCAGCAGGAGCTGCAACCCAGCGGAAGCACAGTACAGCTCATACATCGGGGAGGGGCTGGCGGCAGTGTGGGTGGTTGGGCACTTCCGGATATACCTGCAGGGCCGAGAGTTCACCCTGGTCACTGACCATCAGCCCCTCACTTGGCTGATGACCACACCAGGGCTGACAGGGAGGAACGCGAGGTGGGCAGTGAAGTTGCAGGAATATGATTTCAAGATCAGGCACAGGCCGAGGAAGACGCTGCAGCACGTCGATGGTCTCTCCCGCAACCCACCGCCGCTGGAAATGGAACAGGTAACACAGGGGACGGAAGAGACAGAGCAGGAGCCAGTGCAAACCTTGATCTTGCTAGCAAGAGAGGTGGAGCAGGTCAGTGCAAAAGGGAGTAAGGGGCCAGCTGACATCTGGCAGGATGCAAAGGCAATGGAATGGGTGAAGGGAGAAACCGAAGAAGATGAGACAGTGTCCGAAAGGGTGAGGGCACGAGGGCACCACTACAGGTGGTATCAGCAGCAGCTGCAGATCAAGACGGAGGATGGCTGGAAGCTGGTGCCAGCGCCCAAGGACCGTGAAGCAGTGATCAAGGAAGTGCACACTAAGCTGGGACACTTCGGGCACGAGAGGACCGTACACCTGCTGAAGACGGGCTGGTGGTGGGAAGGGATGCGCAGGCAAGTGAAGGAGTGGGTGGAGGGGTGCGAGGCATGTCAGAGGAGCAAAGCAAACCTGACGCAGGCCAAAGCAGAGCTGCACTCACTGCCAATCTGCAGGCTGGGGTTTCGATGGTCCCTAGACCTCGCGGGAGAGCTGCCGCTAAGCAGGAGCAGGAATCAGTATATAGTGTTCATGGTGGAACATGTGAGCAAGTGGCTGGAGGTGAGAGCCATCCCTAGCAAGAGCGCGAGGCATATTGCAGCA